CGTTGACAGAAAAAGGTTCGACCTTATATGAAAAAACTTCAATCAGGCACTATGCAACAGAAAAAGTTGCTACCGTTGACAGAAAAGGTTCAACCCTAGATGAAAAAAGCTTCAACCCTAGATGAAAAAAGCTTCAACCAGACAATGTGCAACAGAAAAAGTTACAACCACTGATAGAAAAAGCTTCAACAGTAGATAATAAAGCTTCAACCGATGACCGGCAATGGAAAAAAGTTTCATAGAGGCTCGCATTTCCACGGAAGCTACAACCGGCATTGGCGGGTGCTGGAACTGGCAAAGACCAATGCTACAATGATGCTTCGGCCGGCGATGGTGAAGCTGCAACCGTGCAATTCATAGCTACAACCCGTCACAAAAAAAATGTGACCAGCGAGCACGAAAGCTGTGACCGATGACGAAAAAAGCTACAACCGTCGAGCACAAAAGCTGCAACCGGCAACAAAAAAGCTGCAACCGGCAACAAAAAAGCTACCACCGACAAGCCCAGAAGCTACGACCGGCGTGCAAAAAAGTTGCAACCGTCGAGTGATTTTGTCGCCCAGGTCTGTTTATGAGAGCTTCCGCCTAGAGTTTCCAACGACCGACTCGAATCCAGTTGAAGCTAGCGCATCGTGCATGTGATACTGTAGATCAATTAAGCTGCTTGCTTGCAAGTTAGCTTTGCACGTCGGACCTACACTCCGGCGATTTGATCTACGTTCTAAATCCAACATGGAGCATGGTGTCTGGCGAGTGCGGGCGGCGCGGCTAATCGAGGACAAGCACCGGCGGGCGCCGGTGGCCGGCAAGAGCGGGCGGCGCGTTGGACCGGCGAGCTGTGCGGGGTTCTTTTTCTTTTTTGCTTGTGTTCAGATCAGAGGTTCACGACGAGGAGACAAGGAAATCTAACGACGCAGGATGCGAAAGTGCCTTTCTGCTCCCGAGTAAAATCGAAAAAAACGAAAAAAATTCAAAAAATTTTAAATTTTTTTTTGGAGAAACATTAACAAAAGTTCTAAGTGCTTGCAAAAATTCATCATGAAATTATATTTCTGTAAGGCGTGGCAAAAAAAAACAAATTCAGTGCTCCAAAATGCTGTTGAAAGTAGCTTTTTCAGAGTACTGATTTTGTTTTTCTTTTGCCACGCCTTCTAGAAATGTGATTTCATGATGAATTTTTGCATGCACTTAAAATTTTTGTCAATGTTTCTCTAAAAAAAAATTGGTTTTTTTTGAAATTTTTTTGATTTAGTTTTGATTTTACTGTTCACCTGAGCTCATTTGAGCTCGGGTGCAGAAACTCCGCATCCCGTATGATGTCTTTAATCCAACGTACGCACGCTGACCGGCCAAAGCCGGCGCGTATCATTGCCCATAATAAATCAGCTAAAGATTTCGGTCACAGCTGTCTGAACAAGGCGTCACTAGGAAACACATGCACGGCGAAACAAAGAAATGTCACCAGAAAATCATGTACACTGCTTGCAAGTGAATCGATTAGATTGTGAGCAATGCCGTGAGCTTTTATTCCCAAAAAGTCGCGCGTCTATCGATTTTGCGTCCGTATGTGTGCCATTATTGGCTAATAGACCCATGCGACCGCTTTTATAATAACAATCTTAATAGCCCGTAAACATATGTTTAACGTATGCATAGTGCCGTATATTTCACAATGGTACTAATTTTTTTATATTTTCCACTGAATAAAATGTTTATTTTGAATAATGAAATCCAAAATTATGAAAGTAAAATATGTTTGCACTTGTTTTTAGATCAAAATTCGTGTGCAGGCTGTCACCGACAAGGTCGGGTCTGTGGCTTGTCTTTGGTGACAGTGGTGGTCGTTCGGCAGTCCAGGGGCTTCAATGTCTCTACTCTTACAAAAAACCGAGTTGATGGTGATGGTGTGTCTGCCATCTTATAATATAGACCGTCTGATCTATATCTGACTGATAGAAAGTAAACTATGACAATTTTACAAAAAATATCCGCACCTATCTCCACATTTACAGATAAGGCCTTGCCTCGTTCATCATTATCTCCCACAACCTCATTGCTGAGCAATTAAAAAAGGAAGTCTCTGGAACAATCTGGCATGGTGGCCGCTGGCATCGCCATCCATCCCCATGCCTCCGCCCAGTCCGACCACCAGTCACCGCCACACCCAACTCCTCCTCACCTTATCTCTCATCTTTTTCGGGATATCATTTTCTCGATGAAATTCTCGCGATACCATTTTTCCGATGAAATTCTCGAGATATTATTAGTTTTTACACATGGGATTATTCCTGTATGAGTCAATCACAACATGTGTTTTATAAAAAAGTGCATCTTGATGTTTCGTGCAATGCACGGGCATCTTGCTAGTAGTTTTTGTTTTTTGAGAATTCAATGTAGACTTTTTTACGCAAAGAAATACTCTAGAAACAAATCCATCCACTCGGCCGAAACGTCCCGCCTTTTCGGGTATGGCCTGTTTACATGGTAAGCCCAGTAGCCCATATGGCATGAGGCGCAGCGATTGCGCGCGGAAAAGCGGCGCGAAAGGCTCTCTCCTTTTTCACTTCTCCCTCCACGGCCCCCTCTCTTCCGCCGCCGAGGTAAAAAGAAAGAAGGCAACAAAAATCTCAATCCCCTCTTGGTCTCATCCTCCCCGAAGGCGCAGAAGAAACACGGCAGCGATCGTAATCCAGCTCTACTCTGACCTGCCGCCTCCCGGCCAGCGGTATGCGCCTTCTGGAATTCTTGTTCCGTTTCTTCTCTGTAGATAATGCTGTCAGCCTGTCACCCATGACTGGTTTTCTCGGTAGATTTTGCCCTTTCCTGTTCGTTTGATATGTGCGTCAGATCTGATTGGTCAACTTGCCACGGATAAAATTGCATCTCCCGACCTGTGTACATATGGATCAACAATGTCATTCTCG